CTCTCACTCTCTGGCAGAGCTCTTACCTGACAACATAAGCTCATTCTTACCGGAATATCAACAGACTTGATGTTAAAGTCCAGGGTTGTGGAACAAAATCCTGAGACTCATTCTTTCCAATATATCTTTTATCTGTCAAGCAGATGTCTGGAATGGTTTTGAAGCTGCAGTTGGGCACCATTCGAAGATCTAGAAGGTTTTTTTTTTTTGGTTTTACTGTCTACATCAAATCTGAGGAGCTGGTGGCTTCAAGGTTTAGTTGTGTTGGATGTATTTTGTTTTGTTGAAGATGGAGAGAAGAGGAAAGAGAAGAATACTGGATAATATGCAGCTGCTGATGGCAGTCCCAGGCTGCACTGGGTGACCTCATATAAAGAACATTTCCAAAACATTGAGAAAGAGCAAGTGAGAAAGAAAAAGGCCCGTTGTAACGTGGCAGCTAAAACAGCTCAGTAGGACTTAGCTACCAAAGTGGTTCTCAAATTTGGGTAATTCTGCAGTCAGTAGAAAAAAAACATTAACTGTGATTAATTTTATGATTCCAGAGGTTTTAAGAACTGTTCCTCAGTTAATCAGTTAAAACAACAGTTCTTGATGAGACAAAAAGAAAATAATAATTATGTTAGTGTTCTTTTTTATTTTATTTATAAAAAATATATTTTTGTGAAAATTTTTTTTTTTTAATTAAAATAAATTGAAATCTTCTTGCGGTTCACTTAGACGTTTGCTGAGGCCCCCTAGTGGGCCCCGGGCCCCCAGCCTCCTGATGGAGAATCAGACAAAGCTGCAGTAGTGACAATTATGCTATCATTGCTTAGATTATATAAAAGCACAGACTGATGATATTATCTCTAAAGATATTGAGGGTACAAAAAAATTTGCACTGAACCCCTGGTAATATTTTTTTTTATATTTGTAATGTCAGATAAGGACATTCTCAGCAATAAGTATGTTTTCCATTAGTAGAGACCATATTCTTTTTTCAAATCAAATTAATTATAATCTGTTTTTTTTTTAGTTTGCAGTAATGGCTGGAAATGTTGTAACTTCATGACAGCTGTAAAAAATAAACTTTTGTCACTTTTGTCATTTTTAACCCATTCTAACCAATGTTCCAAGACTATCACAATTTACTATCGCAATTCTGACATTTCGATGTAAGCCAGTTAGATTGATGACGTATTTCCATCAGCAGACTTTGCAAATCACTGTTCAATAAATCCCAGAAAACCAAATATTTAGAATACTAAGGCATAAAATCAGATGTACATACTTAAAACAAATGTAAGATTGTTGGAACGTAAGAACTGCCCCAATAGCTGTTCTGAAACTCTTTCACGCTGTCCCCGGGCCATTTATATTATCCATTCCTTTATTAGGAAGGTGAAAGTAAATGCCCTGTGGTCCTGTTGCCCTGTCTTTTGAATTGTCTTTTTTATAAACACCCATAGAAAGACCTGTAGGGCAAGCACCTGCTGCTCTGACATAATTTTCTCAATGAAAGGCATAAACAGACTCTCACAAACATACTCTTTGCTTATTATTTTCATTCAGGTGCCTGGATGACATTCAAACAAATGCAAGAAGCATTTAGGGTGTATTATTGTTAAGTCAACAATAGCTTAGTGCTTTTATACAAACTTTTCAGCCTGAGCTACAAAATACCCAGGTGTTCCGTAGGAGGGCATCTGATGATAGACAATATTTAAACACCTGAGTGACAGGTTGAGCGTGGGCATCGTGCCAACTACATGCTGGCGTCTTGTACCATAGCACACTCACTAATCGATAGACTGAGCTTCCAAACCCTCCAGCCTCGCCTACGTCAATCAAAGACTTTCTGCAAATTCCTTGGTGAAAATCTGAGCAAGATTAAATTCCAGTAGCTGGTCAGGGCATGATTCTTCTCTTCCTCTCACTCTCTGGCAGAGCTCTTACCTGACAACACAAGCTCATTCTTACCGGAATAACAACAGACGTGATGTTAAAGTCCAGGGTTGTGGAACAAAATCCTGAGACTCATTCTTTCCAATATATCTTTTATCTGTCAAGCAGATGTCTGGAATGGTTTTGAAGCTGCAGTTGGGCACCATTAAACGATATAGAAGTGTGTGTGTGTGTGTGTGTGTTTATTTTTTTGGCTTGAAATCAGTAAAGCTAAGCAGCTGGTGGCTTAAGATTTAGTTGTGTTGGATGTATTTTGTTTTGTTGAAGATGGAGAGAAGAGGAAAGAGAAGAATACTGGATAATATGCAGCTGCTGATGGCAGTCCCAGGCTGCACTGGGTGACCTCATATAAAGAACATTTCCAAAACATTGAGAAAGAGCAAGTGAGAAAGAAAAAGGCCCGTTGTAACGTGGCAGCTAAAACAGCTCAGTAGGACTTAGCTACCACTTTTCTCATCCAAGATTCCTCTGCTCCACTGCATTCTCCTCAGAATTAGGAGGGACAGGCAGAGTGAAAGAAAGATGTGAGGAGAGAGAAAACGTGGCTAAAATTTATTTGAAGAGCTGAAAGTGAAAGAATGTCTAATACATCTGTGCTTTTACACTCCCTGATGACCTTTTAAAGAGGTTAACTGTACTTCCTGTACTGGCTCTAATTTGATAAATTTGCACTTACAGTCTATCTATCTATCTATCTATCTATCTGTCTGTCTGTCTGTCTGTCTGTCTGTCTGTATCAGGAATCCAACTGGAAATCCAATTGGGAATCCAAATTTGGTCATATTTTGTTATATATGCATCATTCAAATATCTTATTTAACAGTTGGCTACAGAAATTAATATTCTGTGTTTGTTGTGCACTCCTGGCAACCTCTACTAAATTAGCTACAGAAATGAACTACAAAGGTGAAATCACCACCATCAGTTTAAGAAGTTATACAGTAAGCATTTCAATTATATATGTGTACTCTCTCTCTCTCTCTCACACACACACACACACACACACACACACACACACACAGAGACAGAGAGAGAGAGAGAGAGAGAGAGAGATAGGCCTAGATGTCATACTTATATGATCACCTTTTTGAAACCGATTCAAATAGCTAAAAAATGAAAAATTTTGAATGTTCTTTAAAAACTTAAAGCAAAGCAAGTACACTTTTTGAAGTTTGTGCACCTGCCTGTGGTTCAGATGTTCAATTAGGCTATTGTCTCACCCATTATGCATTATTAGTGCTGCTTGAAATGTTTAATAAAGGTTTGGCACATGGTTTCCACGCACACTGTGATAAAACAAACAGGACTTAGACCTCCAGATTCACAAACCACAGGTGATTAATTCAATAGAGCTATTTGTCATAAGTGCTTATGAAATAATAATCTTTACAGTACAAGATGACAGCATCATTACAGAAAGCCCTGGCAATTATACTAGACAAATATACTTAACGAATTATATTTTTTATAATAGTTCTAAATTTAAATTCTACATAATTCTAATAAAATACAATGTTTGATTTTGTGAATTAGCCTACTATTTAAATAGAGATAAGCAGATTGACCTACCCGACAGTAGTGGGCTCTGGGTGCAAAGTGTGATCAGGAGCCCGAGAAGAGCTCGTGCCCGTGCAGGAGACATTGCAGATAGTGCTTCAGTATTACGGCGATCCGTTACACTGAGGGAAGGAAGCCTATGGGATGCTCGGATGCTCAGTTGCCCGCTACCGTCAGTCTGTGCGCTCTTTCTCAGACGTTGTCTCCCTCTTCTGGGGACGAATGGGACTAGGGGCTATACCCAAATATTTTCAGAACAAGGCGATGGAAAATCTTTGGAAACACACTTCCTCTGATGTAGAACTCACTTATCGTGCTCCGTTTATTTTTATAGCCTGTTTACCCAAACCTCATTCTGTAAGCTACGTGTTAATAGGCCTACTTCATTAGCGTAATTGTGTTATAAGTAGCCTATTGTGTTTATTCAGTATCAGTATTGTAATTTATATTCAGCTCTAAAATCATGGTTAATAAATTCTATATGCGTTCTCCACACATTTCTGCGGACTATACAAGACGAGAAAATCAAAGAGCATGAGCGCAATTTAGGTAGGCTATACCACTGCAGTGTACCCACCTCCCTCATTTTTCAAAAAGTATGTGAAAGAGTAACCAAAATGTTTCTACGAAAACTACCACGAAGGAACAATACAGTCAAACAGCAGTTATCGTCAGTTGAGGTAGTATGGGTTTACAGTTTGTTTAGTTTCTTTCAACATCTGTATCTCATCTGTAAATTTGAGTTTTGTCTCATGATCTAATATAAATATCCACGTATTTGTCTGCTACACATGAACGTTGTTTAGAAATTAGAAACTTATCTCGAAACTGTAGATTCACGTAAAATACAAAGATAGGCGTATGTCAAATTAACCAAGAGTAGGCCTACCTGCTGATTCAGATGATACCAGTTCTGTCATTTAACATCCATTGAAGTTCTCACAAAGCCAATACTAAATACATTACGTGCCATTTTGCTTTATTACTTAAAAAATTGTCCTGTAAGTCTTTTATATTTTTTGACACATATAGTCTCTCATCTCAGAAAGCTGTTTTCTAATTTGTTAAACTCCCGCCACTGCGATTCACTGTAGTCAGCATGTTTTTAATTATGCTATTTTTGCTTAATTTTCATCAACTTCTGCCAGGCAATACATTTGAGTCCATTTTTATTTTATTTATTTTTTTATTTAATGTGTCTCAGCTGCTTCTCTGAAGACATAACCCTCTAAAATAAATTATTTATAAAATAGGTCAACGTCTAAACTACGATTTTAAAGTGTAGGGTACCCATGCACTCCAAAGAACAAATAGCCAGCGGAACATTATCATATCATATGATTGGCCTTTAAACATTATGTTATAAAGACATTCCTATGGATGTATGCAACTACATAAATTATGTATTATAATCCAAGAGGCACAAAAAGAGCAACATATTTTCCTCATTTATTTATTAATTAAACACTTTATCCCTTGAGGCAGACTTGTTTGTGGTGGACACCATTAGACTTCATCAGACTGCTACTTCCATCTGATATGGCATGATCTCTAATTAACTGACAAGAAGGAAAGAAAAGGAGACAATATTTTAAAACAACAACAACAGCTCTATAGTTTCACTCGTACATAAATTCTTTATGACTCCATAAACTACCCAGCAGCTAAATGTGAACATAACTGAACATAAAACCCCTAGAGACAGCAGAGCTCCAAGTACAGTTAACCCTGCGTAATGCATCAGCAAATAAGAATCCATCACAAACAATCACTGGACCGCCATAGTCTCTGACTGTCTCAGGGGACCATGAAAGAGGCAATTAGATCTGTGTGAGATGGAGTAGGAATAGGAGAGCCCAAGACGAGTTTTTAGAGATTACACTTAAAATCAGCCCTATTTCGTTTATTAATGTGTGTTAATTATAAACAATCAATTATTTAAACAATGGACCCTTTTCACAAGACTGTGATGACGCGTTTAACGGTCATCAGCATCGTAAATCCTCGAACGTGTTTCATATTTGTATTTAAAAAAAAATGTATCTACATTTATAACACTATTCTTTGTATTATATCACCTTTGCGTCAAATTACAATAAAAAAAACAGTTTACGCTAATACAAGGGTGTTTCTAATGCAGCGTCTATGGGAGGGACGGTAAATTTGACATCGTTCTCTCCTCTGACAGCCGGTATCAGTCTCTCTCAATTTTTTTCCTTTTATTGAAAGTCACGAAAACACTATCGTGGAGTTTTTCTTTTGCTATTTGAGCAAATGGGAATGCAAAAATTATATTTGGGGTACTCTCCCATTCACTGCTATTCAAGTTAACCCAACTATGGCGACTTCCGCTGCTGAGAAACTCGGAAATGTGAAAAAGGTCCATTATATAATTAAATATTATATACATAATTAACACACAAACACACACACACACACACATCATATATTCAAATGTTTCATATAGGCAGACACTGAAGATACTTAATTCTTGGTTTTCACTTAAAAGATAACATGTAAAATAGTTATTTTAATTAATAGCTGAGATGGCTTAGTAAAGTTAATTTCTTACAATCACTCTGGAGGGATCTTCTAAGCTCCCTTTTCTCTTTTTCTGGCATGACAAAGTAATTGACAGGCTGCACAGTACCAGTCTTATCTTTGTAATTTTCCCTGTGCTTCTGTGACAACTGGGGAAAGAGAAGTCCAAAATATGCATGACTAATCAGTGAGACAAAAGAGAGCAGTTTAGAACATGATCCACAATCACACCTTAATTCTCATTCTTACCATGTTGAAGTCCTTGATCTCCTTCTGCCTTTTGAAATCAATGTTGTACCGGACCCAGTAGGGTAAGATACTGTCTTGGGTATGGGAGCTCAGAGGCACACTATTGTAAGAGCTTTTGCTAGAGGCCATCATTGCAGATCGGATGTTTTGGAAGTACGTTAGGGACGAATTGCCAAAAGTCTCCCCATACAGGAATTTAGTAGTGGGAATGTGTCCACAGTACCTTTAAATGATGCAGCAATTGCACAATTAACAGTTGATACAAGGTAGGCTAATATTGTTTTATGATTTACCTGCACCAGGTTTAGAAATTAATCACAGCAAGGGTCAAAATGCCAAAGAAATGGTAAAATGGTAAGATTGTAATGGTAACAGCCATAATTAATTGTTAATTCGAGTTTATTTCAATTCACTATCAATTAATTGATTTATATATTTAACATTAAATGACAGCACACATTTTCTGTATCGTTTGAAACGAAAAATACTCCGTGAATGTCAAAACTTAACGTTAACCCATATGAAAATCAATTCAACGGGACAAATATTCTGCCCTGCACACAAAATAAGAAATAATCTGTTTTTACCCGGGCATCAGAGACGATGGGATGTATGCTGTGTTGTTATGCGTAATAGGAGTACCATTTCCTCTGAAAGTCATGGCTGAGTAGATAATAATACTATGAATATTATCCGATCATACGCTCCTGCGTGTCAAAGCTGACCTGCACCGCAGATAAGACAACAAAAGGTTGCCTGGCAACCATTTTTTTCAGTATAGACTAGCATACTCGTTTTTATTAATAGCTAATCTGTCAGTTTAACTCTATACAAAATATATAAAACTATGCTTCTGCCTCGAACAATAATCAATCTGGTAAGAAGCTTTTGGGGCGTATTTGGTTTCTGCAAGAATCCGCCCCTGAGAAAGAGTTTAGACTGTGTGCGACTGCCCCCTGCTGGCGTCATCCGTCATCACATTGCGCTCGTGCGGAGCGGCGAGGCGAGGCGCATCGCAGAGCGAGTGTCGGAGCGGATCTGACGAGTGTACATGTGCGCACAGTAAAGCGAGAGAAAATGAAATCTCTTTAATTATTTATTGCTCTTTTCATGTTATTGCGCACAGAGGATGCAGCCTGTACCATAAGAGGATTTTCCGGTTTATATGTAGCGAATAAAAGCAGTTAGGACATGATTTTATAAGAAGTTATGCAGCATTGTTCAAGATAAGATCCGCGATCTTTGTGATGAAACATTTTTACTCTATTTTAGGCTTTTGATTTTTCTCTATTTTAAGTTGAAATGGCTTTAGTAGCGCATCGCAGAGCGAGTGTCGGAGCGGATCTGACGAGTGTACATGTGCGCACAGTAAAGCGAGAGAAAATGAAATCTCTTTAATTATTTATTGCTCTTTTCATGTTATTGCGCACAGAGGATGCAGCCTGTACCATAAGAGGATTTTCCGGTTTATATGTAGCAAATAAAAGCAGTTAGGACATGATTTTATAAGAAGTTATGCAGCATTGTTCAAGATAGATCCGCGATCTTTGTGATGAAACATTTTTACTCTATTTTAGGCTTTTGATTTTTCTCCATTTTAAGTTGAAATGGCTTTAGTAGTGTACCTGAAGACTGTCACGGAGCTTCGTGGAAAGGGGGACCGCATCGCTAAAGTGACTTTCAGAGGTATAGAGCAATCATTTTAATGTCCAGTGAATGTTTTAGTATGTGTGCATCTGTATATTAAGCATCTTGTGATATACATTTGTAGGTTTAATATTTATCCCATTTTATATATATCATGCAGTGGTGTGTAACTTGAGGCTCAAAGTTGTAGAAATACAGTTATTCTAAATCGGCATGTCTTTATCAAAGAACATCGAGGTTTTTTTTAATATCGCTTTAGATGATTAAAAACTCCCTTGCTGGTAGATAGATAGTAACATTATTTCCTCATACACAAGCGTGAGCTGGTTTCATTATATGTAGGCTCTCAATTTTCACTGCAGTGCAGTTTAATTCATTGTTAATTTCAAGCAATGCTACTGGGATTATTTTTCAAAAACTGTCGTCAAGGTCCCCAGAAGTATTAAAGCTGGATAAAGTTGTGAACCAAATTTGCTTAAACTTTTGGTCGTTTTATCTCATTACATCTTGTCTTGCGAGGCTTGCCTCAGCAATCCATTAGATTTCATGTCAGGTAAATGTGGCTTTAAAGACACTGAATATGAATGACAAGACTTTTTTCTCCTGTGTCTCTCCTCTCTTTCTCTTTGTTTTTTTCCCCATATGTATTGTGTATTTCAGCACCTTGGACAGTTGCTCACTGTTCATCTGCACAATTATTTTCTTTTTCATAAAATGCTCTCTGTGTATGTTTGTAAGAGAGAGGGGTTGGGACAAATACAGCCAGAGATATGTGTGGAGTTTTATGTGTTTCTAGCATATAAAAAGGTATATTACAGAATCACCTTAGTTAAATGGAGCAGAAATGAGCTAGGACAAACAACATTTTATTGCTAATAAAAAAGGAGAACGGAGTAAACATCTTCCATTTTTAATAGGAATCTTCTTACAGAAGGATGTTTTGAGAGAATTGATGTAGAATGTGACGGTCTGCTTTTTTTGTAATTTGATTGAGACACTTCAAATAGTAAGTCATTTTGATGCATGGTCCTGTTGTTACATTTCCCCCCCACTTTCTCTGATGGCAATGACTATCAGCTCTCCTGCTACCCTTTCCTTCCCTCCCATTTTGGCGTTCTCCTAATCTTCAGCAGCCCCAGTGTGCAGTGATCTAGGCTGTCTGGAGCGGAAGGGCTCTACTGAGCTGTGTCCTGTTTCTCTGTGGGTTGCATAACTTAGATTGAGTACCAACGAGTGGATCTGAGAACAATGAAAAATCTCAATAAAAATGTTTCATCAGAGATAGAAAATTATGGAATGTATGAAAATATTGGCTTTCAGACTTTCAGATGTGATTATGTTGGAATTTGAAAAGTCCTTGTGAAGACTGTACATCATTGAAAATACTGTTCAAGATTGTTCTGTTGCTTTACAGGTTGCTCATCAATTTTTATTAGGTCGTTGCCTAGTTTACGCATGTTATATGAGCTTATATCCATATCTTCTTGTTATTGTCACCAAGGAAAAGTGTTTTTAAATCTAGGTTGTGAGCCTTCTGATTTTTGCCCTCAGTTCTCTCTTTATTAAGGCATCAGTACTGCACAATTCACAAACTCTTCCTCATCACGCTTTTATCAATTCTTGTTTTTCTGTTATGGCTTATGAGAAAAAAAATCCTCACCAGCTCTGCATTTTGTGATCTACAGCTCTGTGTACAGAGGGTAGATGTAAACGTTACCTGGGGAAAAAGCTCCTATGTGAACAACAGCAGATAGCAATGAGTTTGAGATGAGATGCTGCTTGTTTCTCTGAGACTAAGAGAATTTTGTTGTCTGTATTTTGAGATTACATAACTTATTTCAAAATGACATAATTCAGACTAATTTTATTAAGAATTTTTTGACATGACCTGTACCAGTGCAATTGTTCAACACAGAATCAAGACAACAATAGACAATGGTATGATTGTATAAAACTATAATAGCAAAACAAAACAAAAATGTATTTCTCTCTGCCATATGTGGCGAATTTGCATTATAAAAATTGATGGCTGGGTCGAGAATAAGAACAAGCAGCATTGTATTGAATTGTATTGTGCGTTTATTTTAGTATCAGAGGCACTAAGTAATGATTGTTTATGTATTTACCTTTCTTAAACATATCTACCAGTGTGCCTCAGCCAGAAAACATGAATTGCTCAAGTGCAATATCTCTTGTGTTCAAGTGTTTGTGTAGGCTTGTGTATGTGTGCATAAGTTGGTGTGTTAATGTATTTAATTCTAAATCCAAACTGAGCTATATATATATATATATATACTCACACACACAAACACACAGAGTTTTACTTGTTAAGACTTATAATATTTGACATTGCAGTCTTTATTATATTACACAATGTTTCTTATATATAGCACTGCTTTGATGCTATGCTCCATATTGACCTTTAACTTAGTTTTTCTCCATGCAGGTCTCTCCTTCTTCTCCCGGGTGCTGGAAAACTGCGAGGATGAAGCTCGGTTTGAGCAGGTCAGTATTTCCCCCTGCTATCTCTCCAGCTTCGGCTACTAACTCAAGAATGTTCAAGCGTGACACTAACACTGTCGACCTCAGAGCAGCGAAACATTTATACACTACAAATTTGATTTCTCTCTCCCCGAGAGAGGATGTGGTGAAGGAATCACTCGAGGAATCAACCCGCTCAACCGTGACCAAACATATCACATTTAGCCCCACTGAATCCTATTAATGCTATTTGCACAGACCCTCTGGCAAGCAACGCAGCAGTATGAAGTGGCAATAAGCTTGTGGATAAACCAGCTAAATTTCTATCAGGCTAATACAGTTCTTTGAATGATCGCTTTCTTTACTCCAAAATATCCCTGCAGGTCCAAGTCTCATACTTAGATTTGATAGGTTAATAGCAAGAAAAGATTTGTTACTTTCTCAGTCATACTGTAAATCATAATGTAAATAGGACTTGAGGATGTGTGTGCCCCCTCACAAATATTTTCTGATCTTGTACCAATAAAGAGGTTTTTATTTGCATTATTAATAACTTGCTGGTTTAGTGTTTTTAAAAAAAATACTTTTATATCCTCATAGAAGGCAGAAATTCAGTTATGTTTTGCTGTCAGTCGTGATGGGGACTCCCACACTAGTGTTAGCCTCGTCTCACCTTTGGAGGGGGTTGTTGATTTTTTTCCAGTGCTGCAAACAGCAAGCGTTACGAAATTGCTCTTTTGATTCTATTTGAAAACTAAGTGCTGCTTCCTTTCTTGCTGATTGGTCTTTTGTCTATGTTAATAGAGAAGGTGGTGTTTCCACTGTGTGTACTGTGAGATAAGAAGAGAGAGAGACTACAGAGTGAATACAGCAATAAACAAAACAAAAATAATAATTATTTGAGATTATTTAAATGTGGAAGAATAAAGTTGAAATTTTTTTCTGCTAAGCGGGCCGGGAAACATAATTAGTTTTTATGTTGCTTCCATGTAAGCCCCATGACCTTTCTGGCTGAACTCCAGCCTCTTCATTTCCTTTCAATCTCTCACTCATAGTTTTGTGGTAATAGTTTAATCATTACTGGGCGGTTAGACAGGGCCGTTACACACTTCAAATCTACTGAACCTACTCGCCACTTATGATTACATCACAGATTTCATACCAAACCCCACAAGACAACACTTCTAGGAGATGCTGTTGCTCTCACTTTCGTTCTCTCTTTCTATCTTCTCTTTTATTTAAAAGCATGTTTGTGTTTGGCACCAGCATTGTTTTTCCATTCAGGTTTATCAGGCAGGCATGATCAGGTTTCATATACATCAGAAGTAATATGGCTTTTAATGTACCTAACACTGACATTTACCGTAAGCAGGGCATAAACAGAAAGTAAACAGACTTTATTTAAAGGAGATGTTTGTGTACATTTTCTATTGATCATGACAGCTTTTATTCATCATTTGAAGATCAATGACAATCAAAAAGCATTATAACTGGACATATATTCAGACACACTGTGTAATTGTGCACGATTTGCATTGTAAGTAGCCGATACAGAATATCTACATGCCAGATTCCAGATTAGCTTGCTGCATCTGCACAACATAGAACCAACAAACAAGATGGGTTTTTGTGCTGCATAAATTGCGTTTAGCACAGATTTTGTGGGTTCATATTTGTGCTTTTACCCATTTCCCATAATTCCTTCAGTAAACCAAGAACTAAAACAATACAGGCGGCTTGAAAACTCAGTTCATCCTCAAGGTGCATCTAAATTCCCATACTTTCATAGTATGTCATAGTCTACTAATGTGACATTGCTTACTTTATAGCAAGAAGTATGCACATTCGTACACAGGTTAAAAAGCATAGTTCACCCAAAATTGAAAATTGTCAGAATTTTCTCACCCTCATGTTCCTCATTCCAGATCTATTGCTTAATGCAATGTTTTTTTTTGTTCACGTTTTGATGCATTAAAGTTTTGGTTTTGTGGACTTTCAATGTTAGGACAGAAGTCTCTCAGGTTTCATTAATATACTGTATATGTTTTGAAGGTAAATGAAAGTCTCATGAAACAAAAATGAGTAAATGATTACAGAATTTTAATCTTTGGGTGCACTGTTCTTTTAAGCGAATTTTCCCTACATCTCTACTAACATACTTGTTATGAAATTCTGCTTCTCTCATTCTGTCATGTATCCCATCACTTGTTTTCTCAGTCTTACTATCTCAGTACAACCAAACAGCAGTTTTTAATCCTTGTTTTCTAATCCTGCTATGTGCAGCTGAGTACACCTTTCAGGACTCTTGCCAGCTGTACTCATTGTACACTCTCAAATAGACTATTCATTTGAATCAGAATGGACCCAGATATTGTTTATGCATGAGCAATTATCATTTTATCTTCAACAAGCTCACAGACGCTGGCAAAGACAAAACCGGATAATATAATTTAACCGGATATGTCTTGCTCTCATAGTAAAATGCTTCATTTTCTCCAAACAATCTTTGGTTCCTTTTTTAATGTAATATAAATAACATCTAAACGCTTCTCAATGCTGTGTGGCTTATTATTGCAGTGCTGTTGCACAGTGCTTTAGGCCTGCAACCTGATGTTGACTGTGATGGACAGACAAGGTTCAAAACAGACGCTTGCTGCAGCTATGTGCAAAATTGCCATCCTTTACATCAGCTCTGCAGGAGTGCCTGTCTTTAAAACATTGATTTTATCTGCAGGAGTCCAGCAAGAAACTTTGTTGTTAATGGCAGCTGATGTGAACGTTTGGCACTCGCACTGTTTAAGGCTTTTCTTGTGGTGGATGAAACTGTTTGGATGTGTACAGATTCTATTGCTTGTAGCTTAGCAGTTTAATGGCAAATGTAAAAGAAAAAGGGAGTGATTGATGGAGAAAAACTTTGCTGAATCCTTTGTGGCTGGCAATTTCTATCCAATCTTGTAATGTCTAAAACCAGGGGAATATGAAAGCCAGGTAGTTCTTAAACAGCTTTCAAAGAGTGGTTGGAAATATATTGACTTAACTTTGATAGACTTTTCACCTGTAAATCATAACTTGGCATTACAATTTGTAAAAATGCCAATGTATTCGCTTGTGGGAGATATTTCGGTCATGAGCTTCTATGCTATTTATGTTCCACCATACATGGAATTGATTTGACTTATTGGTAGATGGTATAAACATGCCATCTGGATTTTATTTATAAATAAATGTGTTAGGTCTTTCAGAGAAAGTTTCTCTGGGATTGGTCCTTGTAGAAGACAAACCAGCTCAGATGTCTTATTAAATATAGAAAAAGCTGTGTGGTGAGCTGTTTTTCTTTCACAGTGTCAATTATTTAAATTTAATAGTTAATGTTTCTTCAAACTTCTTTAATATGTGTGAAGGAACATATTTCTAGTTTTGTTTTGAAGAAAGGGTACTTGAACTTCACTAATGGGGCTGTGGGGGGGGTGCGTAAAACAATAAATGTTGGGAAACGCTATATACCAGGACTAAAATAAGGGCCTAGTGAAATGCATTTTCTATGAATGCTAATGAGTGAATGCTTGAAGTGATGACATAGTTGCACAGGAATTCATCATATAACCACAGGCAAAAAAAGTATGTTAAAAAAATGAATGCTTGTCCCTAAATCCTTTTTTGTTTAAAAATGTGTCTGCAAAATATGCTATTATATAGCACTACTGCTGCTCTTTGTATTAATGCATGCATATGCATTTAAGGATGTTCACATGCGAAGACTGACAAACTGAATTTTCCCCGCCCTATTACTCCCCCATGCATTTAACTGTATAATCAAACACTCTCTGCTGGAGCTTGTTATTGCTGAAACATGCAAAGCTAGCCCCCAGTTCATGTCCATCACAAAACTTCAGCTATGCCTATCACACTGCATCAGTGTCTCAATGAAGAAATAAGAGTTGCTTTCTCATTATTCTGATGGGGAATTGTCTCATCATGACCAGCAGATCTAATCTAATATGATCATTCTCCCAAATGGCCCAATGAAGCACCAAATTGCACCAATCTCTCTCTTTTGTCAGTCTAATTATTCTTTCTGTTCAGCTTTCCAACAGTTTTAAACTACATGCTTCACGCTGACATTTTTCTGAAATGTGAAATCTTGACATTTCACATTAGATGCTGTGTTTTTAATTTGGAGCGTGAACAAATGTTGTGCACAGAATGATAATCCTTCAGTTTAGATCACTAATGAAAAGGTGGCAAATTAATTTGTTGTTTTAAATCCACCTTTGAACTGAATTTATTGAGCAGTGATTCTCAACTGGTTCTTATTTTCTTATCCATTTTTAAAAGTGAATAAGCTTATTTATTTTTCTATGCCATCTGTGCACATGTATGATTAGTTGCATTGTAATTATTTATTTGCTTTAGCATTGTTTTTCTCTGGTATCTGTGATCCAATCACAACAATTTTGTGTATCAGTAGAGAACCATTGATGTAAAATATTCTTGTAGGAAGGTGTTTTTAGACAAATAAATGAACAAAAGTTCTGGTGATTCTTTTTTTTAAAGTATGTTCAAAAACAGGCTAGCATTTAGCATGTAACTCCCTTATTGTCATAGAGTGCACAATCTGCATACTTGCATACTACAGTGCTGCTGGCTTCTGGTAAAGTCTAACATTACTGACCCCTGTCTTTAGAATTTGTAAAACAACATACAGGCATGTAAATGCATGTCTCCATTTCTTATGATGCTTGAGAGATTTAATGGCAAAGGAAAATATTTCAGCTTGCTGTGACTCAGAAGTGAGTGAGGTCACCTAGAGAAGTCTGCAGAGGGTGAGATGTTTGAGGTGCTGCAGGAGAAATCACACACTGTGAGGCCATATGGTGTAGAAAGGGAAGAGCGCAGAAGTAATGGCCACATTAAATCATTTCAGATTACTGCGGTGAATCAAAACAATCTGTTTTTAATAAGCTTAATTAGCTGAAATGTTCCTGAGAGTTGGCTGCAATAAGAAGTGCTTTAACTTGCTGTAT